GAGAGAAACCCTACGAATATCTCGAATGTGGGAAGAGTTCCAGCGACTGCTCAAACCTCATCACCCACAGGCGAATTCACACTGGAGAGAGACCCGATAAATGTGGGGAATGTGGGAAGAGTTTCAATCAGAGCTCGAGTCTGATCATACACCAGAGAATTCACACAGGAGAAAGACCCTATGAGTGCAGTGAGTGTGGGAGGAGATTCAACAACAATTCACATTTTAGTGCACATCGGAGAGCCCATGTGGGAGAAAGACTCTAAGCGCAGGAGCAGTGTCTTTACAGCATCCAGTGTGAGAACATGAAGGAATCTGTCCCCGATGGGGACATACCACGACACCCACAAGGAGGAAGAGAGGATACAGATCCCAGCCCAACAAACCTTTTCTTGTTTCTCTCACTAAATGCTCCCTTGGCTTATGAGCTTTCAGGGCTTTCTTACCCAGGCTGTTAGAACGGAGACCAGTTCTGAATTTGACTGTATCACCATCTCAGTGCATCATCACTGTAATTCTGTGCCTTAATTTTCACAGATTGGTAGTACGAGGGTGAGCTTCTTGTCGCAGAGACACTGCCCTCAGGAATGGGGGGCAGGCTCTGCCTCCTGCGCTAATGGCATTGACGGTGGGGTCAGCTGCAGAACCAGCAATGGCTGAACTGTTTCTTCTCAGAAAGAGAAGGGCAGCTAGACACGGAGTTATTAACTACATACAGTTTAAAGGTCTCCACTGTTTTCTACGGGAGGGTTGGGGCCAGGACATGCCTACATTTCTCCACATCCCTTTTCTCAGGATTTACATGGAGTTAATTGAGAGGAAAGCTCTCTATTATATTTGGGGCAGGGAAAAGGAAAAAAGATCACTGCTAAAGGCTGACTTTCTAAACCATAACCTATTCTTCCTCTCAACATATTAAGTTCAACCATATGACATTCCCATTTCTGATCTACAAAACCAGCAATTTCTATTCAGCCTAAACAGAATTTTTGCATGGCAGAAATATTCCAATGCCATTGGGGCTGCTGCAGAGCCTTACATCTCAGGCTTATCCTAAAAATGGGAGACTGAGACAAGATGTGAACCAGGATAATGAAGTGGGAAAAGCCTTCTGCTGTAAATATGTCCAGAGCAATACTAAGAACCATGCCATTGACTCAGAAGACTCCTAGTTCGAGAGTTTACCTCTGTATCACCTGCCTCTGTCTGTACTCGGGTGTCCAGATCCTAAGGGGGAGGCCCTGTGCAGGTCATCGGTCCCTGCGATGGGGGCGCCTGCAGGAGCTGAGTCCCTGTGGGGACTGACATACAGAGCAAATGGTGCTTGGAAATACACTGAACACAGCTTCTCCCTCTTAAAATAGTCTCCTTTGTGTGCTGGATTTAAAAATGTTTTCCTACAACTTTCTGGAAACCCAGCAATTATAAAACAAAGCACAAATTGCATGTATCATGATTGTATCTAGACCTACAGAATGACTATTAAGTCTTTTTTAAGAACATAAAGAACTTACCCAAATAAGTGTTGTCTGTCACAAGTAGTCACTTTGATGAGCTGTGGCCTTTCTATGTTGTTGTCGCTACTGATGACATTAAGTTTTCCTTTAAGGACTGTCTTCAAACCACCTTAGAAAGCCTCACATCCGTGTATTTCCTGCACACACGTGTCTGGCACATAGGAGGGCTAAATAAATGCTGACAGACAACAGCGTGTTCATTATTTAGCCTGGTCATCTTTCTAATCCACGAGACTTGCTTGGCTTGGCCCAATTTCTGCTTTCCAAAAACAGAATCCCTTCAAAGGATCTCAATTTGCTGCCATTGAGGAGACTTTTTCAAAGAGCTATTTTTAGAAATAGTTTTCAAAGATGTAGCCAGAAATGTGAGCTTAGAACTTTTATATGGCCAGGAAATAAATCTGGTATGGATTATTTTAAATCAGTCCCCTCTTTTCGATGTGAAATTCTTTACGTAGGTAGAAATTCCAATTAAGAACTTATCAGGAATATATTAGGCCATGTGGGGCTTGCAAATTCCACTGTCTGGTGAGCATGACCCTGGCCTCCCAGCTGATTCAGCGCAGGACGCGGGCTCCCACTCACCTGCTTTGAATGCACTCCACCCCAGAGAACAAGCCCTTCTCCCTTTACTTCTCTCCAGGACTCTAGCTTTAGTCTTCATCACAGCTGCATCAGTCCTCCAGTCCAGAACAGAGTGAAAATACAGCCAAATTCACTGAGTACTCAGTGTGCCCGGCCCTCTGCCAACCACTTTATTGCAGGGTTTCATTTCACCATCTCGGCCACTCTGCGAGGTGGTACTAGAATTAGGCCCATTTCGGAGGCAGGACTTGGGCCCTGATCTGTCTGACTCCAACACGGGTATCTTAGTCACTACGTTACATCAGTCTCCCAACTGTGCAAACTGCTGTGAGTCACAGCTTACGTGTGGGGGTCAGTGCATAGGGAATGACTGTATATGGTCAACTGTAGTCTTGAGAATCCCTCCCACAGCCCACTAGGTAAGGACAGCATCTCTCAGGCCTGTGAGATGCCTACGTGCCGAAAGCCCAGGGGATTGAAACCTGTTACACACAACTGCTCTGAAAGAAGAGTAGCTACCAAATCTTTACTGTGCCAATCATCCTACCAGCTGTTTTTTCATATATTACTTTTAACTTCCCCAACAACTTATGCGGCAGTTACTAATATTGTCATTTTACAAATAAAGGAACTGGGGCTAAGAGAGGCTGGTTAACTTGCCTAAAGCCACTCAGCTCGTAACAGGGACCTGTGGTCACCTGAGTCCTACATCAGTACCCTTAATGGACAGCAGCTGCTCCTCTTCCTCGAGGCCTGGCAGAAACCACTGGAGTCAGTGGGAGGCACGTGAGTCCACCCAGTCCCACACGTGCAGAGAGGCGTCACTCGCAGCCGAGAGCAAAGTCCTTGGTTTGTGGGGGTGCCAGGTGTGGGTGGTGACCAGTGGAGCAGCGTCTACCCCATTGCCGTCTAGGAAAATGTGACCTCTGTGAGTGAAGAGAGGTTCTACTTGGCCCTCCATTCCAGCCCAAGACGTGACATCATAGACCTGGACTGTCCCATCAAAACCTGAGGAAGAACAAGAAAAGAGAGGATTGACATCTAATGTCTAAAATAATTTCTACAGTTTGTTCTATCGTACCAAAACAGGCTATGGGATGAGAAATCCCATAGCCTGGAATCCCATGAGGAATTGTAAAAAGATACTTAATGGCCAAATGAAAGGCATGGGACCCCTGCCCGCATGCCGGCAGCTGCCAGCACCACAGGGCACGTGATGAGAGTCTGTTGTCCATCTGTCTTGTGCCAGGACCGAGGCCCATCCTGGACATACATTACTTAATCCTCACAACTCTGTGAAGTAGGTACTAATATTTATCCCTGGAAACTGAGGCTTTAAGAGACTTTTTCTTTTTATTTAAATTTAAGTTTATTGGGGTGACAATTGTTAGCAAAGTTACATAGATTTCAGGTGTACAATTCTGTAATACATCATCTATGTATCAGATTGTGTGTTCACCACCCAGAGTCAGTTCTCTTTCCATCACTATATGTTTGATCCCATTTACCTTCATTTTTATTTTTTATTTTTATTATTATTTTTATTATTATTAGTTTCAGGTGTACAGAACAATGCAACAGTTATCCTTTTCGCCCCTCACAAAGTAACAACTCCCCTCCCCGCTCAGAGACTTTTTCAAGCCTTTTCCACTTGCCCCAAATTCTAATTCCTCCACATCTGGGACCCTGTCGGCAGATGACCTTGTTTCCTACTTGATGGGAGAAAGAGCAGCCTTTGCAGCGGTTCTCAACTGTGGGTCGCGACCCCTTTGGGGGTCAAACGACCCTTTCACAGGGGTAGCCTAAGACCATCGGAAAACAAAAAGATATTCACATTACGATTCATAACAGTAGCAAAATTAGTTATAGAGTAGCAACGAAAATAATTTTATGGTTGGGGGTCAACCACAACATGAGGAACTGTATTAAGGGGTCGCGGCATTAGGAAGGTTGAGAACTGCTGCTTTAGAGGAACATTCTCTTGTTCCCCACGACCTAGCTATCCCCACACTCACTCCACCCTGCTGTCTTCTTGTTCCCAAAGAGCCAGTCCCTCCACGCACGCTGGTTCTTCTGCTCCTTCTGGGTCCTGCCATTATCAATCATCTTTCTTGCTCTCTCAACCATTCTTTCAACCTCTGCCGCCTCAATGGCTGCTCCCCACTGGCTATTAGATATCCTCATTAAATATCCTCATTCAACTAGATACTGCGAGGCCAGACCCAGGAGCCTGCTGACCCAGGGGGCTTGCTGTAATTCCCAAACAACTAGACTGAGAAGCACCCTTGAGCTCCTCTCACCTCTCTCTGATGCAGCCCATGGCTGTCCTAGGTCTTACTATCTGCAGGCCTATGGACCAGCCTCAGAGCTGAATTCCTTCCAGGATAGAAAAGGCCTGCTACCAGTGTGTGAAAGTTTAGTAGCCAGAATGGGGAAGGACTGCCCCCAAAGAACCGAAGGTTAATCTGGGGCTTCCTGAGAGCAACTTCAACTTCCGGAGTCAGATTTATTATGGGGCCAGAGGCTCGTTCCTGAGCACCGCATAGTCCCCTGGAAGAGAGAGATCAAATAACAGACACAAAATCCTGCCAGCAGTACCTGAAATGGCCAAGCAGTTGTCCAGGCCTGGAGCCCAGGTCACATGCAACAGCTCCGGGTCAGGGCTAGGTGTGGACACTGGGCACCGGACTGAGCTCACAGGATGGCGGAGATCCCGGGGGTCAAGAAGACAGAGCTGGCCATCTGAGCACAGCCTGGCGATGCCCCCGCCCCCGGCTTGTGCACACCACCTTCCTCCACCGGACCCAGCGCTGGGGCTGGCATTCTCTGACGGTGCCCACTTCTGGCGGGTGTCAACAAGCCCCAGGCGGCCCGAGTTGCAGCAGAAGGCAAAGGTGTCTGCATCCAGGACCTGCAGGCTACTCAGCTCCTCACTGTCACTGATGCCTGGAAGACAGAGGGCGGAAGAGGAAAGCTGCTGGAGGCTGATGGGTCTGGCAGCTTGGTAGGGCGGGCTGGTCACAAGTCCCTTCCTCGGGGAAGCCTCCCCAGTCCCAGAATGGGAGCCCCTTGAGGCCAGGGCTTGCCTCTCTTTCATCTTGGGCCCCCAGCATCTGGCACATGGGGTGGAATTCAGTTTCAACGTGGCTGAGTAGGGCTGGGAAGTGGACAGTGGCTGGAGAGGCCGGCAAGGGGTGAACTATGGCCGTACCTGAGGTGTACGTGGTCTTCTGGGATGCCAGATCCACAACCTTCAGACCACTGAGCCGCACCCCGTGGAGGACCCCAGGTGCCCCTGACGAGAAGATGGCCACCCGGGGCCAGACACTCCCCTCCTTCTCATGCACAGCGATGGTGCTGAGAGCTTTAATGACATCTGCAGGAAAGTGGGAGAGGTAAAAATCCAGACTGTTAATGAAGGGTTGAAGCATTACACAGTGAAAGCCAGTCAGCATTTCTAAGGTCAATGAAGAAAGGGAGCTGACAGCTGGCAAGAGAGGATGCGGAGACAAACTCTCTGTGTTATGTTTACATTTTGAAACTGTCAGAAACACTTTAATTCCTTTATAACTCGTCTTATGAACTGTTTTTGCAAATGGCAGATAATGAAGCACAGCCGCCATCTCAAAACCCCCAAGAGCAGTTGTGGCTTTTTATAGTTTTTTATGGAGAACAGAGAAAGGAAGAGAAAAGGGAAGAACACACTGACGGCGTCATTCACACTTTAAGTAAAAATCACAGGTACAGAGTTAGTGAACTAATATTACTTCTTCAAATACATGTTCTGTGACCTCAGCAATTTGCTGAAACCTTGCAGGTAAAGGTTACAACACAAATGTCGTTGTCTTCAAATGTAAACTGGACAAGAAAGTCCACGTCCTTTTTACAATGAACAGAAGAAAGACACGTGACCTAAAGTTGAATCAAATTTTGGTTTTATTTGTTTGTGTCAGCCTGCTGGTTAGCAGGCAGGTTCTCATCACTGCATCTACATTTAAGGCTTCTCTTAACAGAAGCCATTTAGAACCTAGTTCAGAACAAGTAGTTTGTTACACAAACTACTTAAAGGGAGATGCACATTTTCCATATTTTCTTGCTCCAAGGGGGGGAGGTGTGTGTGTCATTATTTGGTTCCCAGATTCTTTGAAGAAAAGGGAGATCTATGTATTTTTTTTTAATTCTAAAGGATAGGTAAGAGTCAGAATGAGGAAGGATGAAAGAAGGAACACTAACCATCTTTGTGACTTTGAATAAGTTAGCCTCTCTGCGACAGAGTTTGTTCTCAGACTCATGAGAATTTAATGAGATCACACATTGAAAGTGCTTGGCACAGTGCCTGGAATATAATATGCACTCAATTATTTTTGTTCCATCTTACAGACTGTTGAATCTGAACAAGTATCTATGAAAATGTACAGTGAACCAGAATGCTGAAGGGCCTGTGACAGCATTCTGCCTCAGCCGGCTGGGGAAAAACAACTAAACTTCCTCATGAAGATCTGAACAGGCATTTCACCAAAGAAGACATGTGAATGGTTAATAAGCCCATGCAAAGATGTTCAGCATTATCAATCATTAAGGAAATGCGAAACAAAGCCACGGTGATTTACAATTTCACAGCCATTAGGATGGCTTTAATAGAAAAGACAGACAACACAAATATGGGTGAGGACATGAAGAAATAGAAACCCTCATACAGCGCTGGTGAGAATGTAAATGATGAAGCCATTTTGGAAAACAGTTTGGAAATCTCTTTAAAAAAATCAAATATAAATTTACCACATGACCCAGCAAGTTTGCTCCTAAGTGTTTATATAAGAGAAATAAAAACATATGTCAGTAGAGACCTATACATGAATGTTCTTAGCAGCCTTATTCATAATAGCCAAAAGACAGATCCATCAGCTGGTGAATGGAGAGGCAAATGTGGTGGTACATCCAGACAATGGAACACTATTCAGCCATAAAAAGGAACAAGCTACTGATACATACTATGATGTGGTATGACACGGTGGACCTCAAAAGCATTATNTTCCGCTAACTTTGAATCTTAGTTACCTTGGAAAGTAGATACAAATTATTAGTGTTTATGATTTCCCTCTTAAATTTCTATCTGAATTTTTAACTATAACTATCACTTAACCAGGGAAATAGAAATAAGTGGGCATGGATAACACCCAAATTAAAACTAGTCAACCGTAAGATTATTGGAGGGATGAATTTCTTATGGTTGCGATGAGCTCTCCTCCCTGGCGGGGTTCAGTCATTTTGATGAAATATTAGGGCATCCGATAAATAATACTGTTCATCCCCCACTCAGATTCCAGACCAAATGAGAGACATGAGTAAGACACTGGGATTGAAATGGCAGTGTTCTAACTGGTGTCACTATTGGGGAGATTGTGGCTTAGGGGTGTGGCCACCATGGGCTCCCTAATCCTGAACCCCAGGACTGAACTGCAGGCGGCACTAGACACCCACAGCCTAGCCCTGCAGGGTCAGTCTTTGCTGCTGATCTCAGCTGGTTAATCAAAAAAGCCATTCCTCCCATTTGTAAGAAAGGGGATGGAGAAAGGCTGAGAGAGTTATTCTAAGGCATGTCCCTCTACCTGGAAGTTGGTACCCGAGAAAAAGGTGGCTTTTTAGGACTGGTTGGAGAAGGAGAGGAGCCGAGCTTGGGGGCAGAGCCTCTGAAGAGTACAAAGCTGCTGTGACTGAAGAGGGAGAAACGGGCCTACACACTGCTTACCTCCTTTTTCTTTGACTTTCTCCATGTGACCTTCTTGTTTGGAAGTGGGGAAGTGAGCGAGGCCTGGGAAGTCTGCTGGTCTTAACCGTGGTTCAGCCATATTCCAATTTATTTGTTCCTGGTTAGAGGAAAGTAGACCATGTCCTGTCCTTTGCCATCAATAACGTGTTTTTAAGTGTCCAGTGAGGACCTTTCCCATTGTTTCCACTCTCCTGAATTCAGAAAATAGGTTACATTTGCAGTTTCGTTTCATTCTTTCAGATCTTGAAACAAGGACAGAGAATGAGAATTCAAGCCAGGACATTTCAGAGGAATTACCTGGGCATTAGAAAGACCCAAAACGGATGCTTCCCAGGACCTTAACTTTCCCGGGGAAAGACTGGGAAAGTGATATGGGGCAGAAAAGCAATGGGAAGTATCCTTAGAAGATGGACAAGAATCACCCTCTCCTCCAGAAAGAGACGTAGGTAAATTCATAGGTCCTTAGGGAACCCATGTAGGAGAAAAATTCAGTATGTGCTGTGACTGTGGAGAACATTTCAGCCAGAGCTCACACCTGGCTGCCCACAGATTAACCCACACTGGCGGAAACAAATTTTATCAATGTGGCCTCTGTGGGAAAAGCTTTGGCCGAAGCTCACACCTGGTCGGCCACCAGCAGGTCCACACTGGGGAGAAGCCCTACAAGTGCCCTGACTGTGCGAAGGGCTTCAGTGATCATTCAAACCTCACGGCACACCAGCGAGTCCACACAGGAGAAAGGCCCTGTAAATGTGGGGAGTGCTGGAAAAGCTTCAACCAGAGCTCAAGCCTCATTAGGCACCGGAGAACCCACACAGGCGAGAAGCCCNTGCTATCAAGGGTGAGTTTCTGGAGTCCAGAAAGGATGCTGCATTGAAGTCCATCTTAGGAGGATGGTCAGTAGAGCCTTCGGCAGGTGTTGGGGTTTTATTACAGACTAGGTGAACATGGATATAATTAGAGATTTGGGCCTGAATGTTTTCTTATTCTCTCTCAGTCCTTAATATTACTTTCACTAAGTCTTCCCAAGAATCGCCTTAGACTTTTTAAAAATTACTATCTGTGCTCTGTGGTGTACAAAGTGGTTGGGGTTCAAGTCACCAAACCATTACGTCTTCTGTTTGTCTCTGTACAAACAGATTTTCCAACCCACAGACCCAGTGTGAGCTCTCATGTGGATCAGGAGGAAAAGCCATAGAGCCCAGATCTTCAGCACTCCAGAGAGAAGGAGCATGTGAGAGACTCCCCAGTGGGTGGGGGTCACGTCAAGCCTGCCCAGGTGACGGTCTTGAGAAAAGCCAAGACCTGGGATGAGCTGAAGTCACAGGGCCCGGAGGATGGGAAGGTGGTGGGGGTGCACTGGGGCTATGAGGAAACCAAGATTTTCCTGGAAATTCTCAGTGAGTCCTGGATCCATGAGAAACTCTGCACCTGACATCGGAACTGCCAAGTGTACCGATTGTGGCTGAGCGGCTGCGGAAGCGTGGCTTCCTGCGCACCCTGGAGCAGTGTCGCTACTGGTTCAAAAACCTCCAGACCCACTACCGCAAAGCCAGGGGCACACACAGTCCGGGAGCCTGCCCCTTCTATGCCGAGATGGACACCCTGA